AGTTGCTCTAAGAAAACAGCAATGTGACCAGGCTGGAACTGTGTGCTGTGCTTGCCCAGTTCACAATAATACTGCAGAGAGTTGACTAAGAATATCTGTAATATCATCTTCTGCAAATAGTCTGGTTGGGTTATTGTGAGAAAGACCCTGCTGTCTTGGCCCTACTTTCCTGCAAAAATCCCCTGAATTCTGGCCCACACAGCCCACAACAAGAGACAGAGTATTCAATTAAAGAAAACCCACTGCTATAAACATTTTTGTTTTAAAAAAAAGTTGGTAAGAGAAACAAAAAGTAACAAGTGTTGTGAGAACAAGTATATTTCCACAATAGGAGTTAGAATAAATATTTGGCTTTGGTTATAGTAATGGCTTTATGGTTACTTTAACTAAAAGTACATTTAAGCTAATATGTCAAAACATGTTTTGCTGTTATGTCCTTGAAAGTTTGTTATGTTCATTTTTTTTGAGGAAGTGTCCACTTTTTTCTGTTTTGGTTTCTATTTTTCAGATTCAACACTGTGTGTGGTTTACACAATACCCTCTGTGCTGCTACTGATGAGTGTTAGTTATTTATTCTTTATAAGTTCTATAAACAACTTATAATGTTCCAGGGTTAAAGGTATCATATATACTCACAGACCTTTACACTACAATGTGTAAGTTAAAATAACCACATGTATTTTTGTATGTTTTCAGCAACTGAGGTCACTGTGAGCAAATTAACCCCAAGTCAAACACCTCAGAGTAGGTGATGGGTGCAGCAGGAAGTGGAGTAAGAAAACTAAAGTCCTAAGTCTTAATAGGGTAGTGGGCCTACAAAACATTTAATTATGAATATATGGGATACAAGAAAACTTGATTTGCTGTTAGTTATGTTTAATATGCAAATTTTGTTCAGCATGTGGCACAGCTGGATGCTCATTTTATCTCCTATTTTTATTAAATATCTGCACATTTTTCTTTTTAACACTGAGGAATGAAACTCCAACTTGACTCACTGGCAGAGGTTTGCAACTGTAAGTCAATAATCCTACTTT